AACGACAGGCCTTTGGGCCTTTTATAGGCCACTGAAGGGGGTGGGGAGGATCCATCCCTGGGCCCAGGCGCATGGGGGCACAGCACTGCCTCTTTCTCAGGCACTGTGGTCCCGGGACCGCCTGTGGCTGCGGGCGTCGGGAGGAGCCCGAGGGCCGGCAGCTGCACTACACTGGGCGGGATGTTTGGAGGAGGACAAACACATCAGCACAGTGCAACGCGTCTTCAAAATGATCCTGCCGGGCATCTGCCGCATCCTAATTCAACACCCAGCCCACAGCTCTGGAGAGGCCCGAGGAAACCAGCAAAAAAACAACGGCGTCTGTGTTATCCGTGCGGCTGGCTTGTGTGTGAAATTGTAAAATCGCTTGTGTGTGAAGGGCGGCGCATAATGATTTCCATTTGGTTCCTCCACCCACAGGACACACAGGCTGCGTCTGTATCTCCTGAACAGGTTCAGCAACTCTCCTCAGCCTCGCCGCCCGTCCTCAGCTCAGGGTCACTGGGGGTCACCGTGCTTAGCCATCTTTAATGTGAACGTTTTCCGAGATGGCCTCACGTTTTGCTCTGGGAGTGATGTGCCGGCAGGGGCTGCTCTTGAAGCCGCTCCTCGCACTCGCCTCGTGCGGCTGCTACACTTCATTATGGCCGTTGACCACGAGCTGTCGTGCTTTCTGGAAGGTGAGTCACCTGATGGGAGAGGCCATCCAAGGGCCTGACACAGTGATGGCACATACCGATGATCAATAAGTGTTTGCAAGTGGAAGGATGTGGGAGCCCGGACAAGTTTCCCCATGTCTGAGAACCCTTGGAGGGAAGTCAGGCTGGTTAATAAACAACAGAGGAAATTGGAAATGAGTGGTATAAAGAGTAGATAGGGGATAGATGAAGTGTTTTATTTCTTCTTCTTGAAGGCTGCTAGCCAGCCTGCTGAAAGTGACCGGTGGACGTCTAGAATTCTCTGCATGTTCCTGTGGAGGCTGTGCAGGGAGCTAGTGGTTAAGGGTGGATCCTGGAACCATCCTTTATGCTCTGTGTGGATTCAGACACATCCGCTAACCTCTATATTCCTCAGTCTCTGCGTCTGTAGAATAGGACCCATGTCACAGAGCTGTGTGACGCTTCAGTGAACCGTGTGCAAAAGCCCTCAGCAGTGCCGTTCCCAGGGGTCGCCCTTGGACACAGCCACCATCCTGTAAGACATGTAAAGCCCACGTCCTCACTCCCAGAGAGACAGGCAGAGAGAAAAACAAGAGTGAAAACAAGACAGCGAGTTTAGAAGCCTGGTTTGGAAGGCGGAAAGAAGAATAGAAACGCCCTGGGGGCACAGTTTTACAATTCAACACACAACACACAACTGATGATGCCTCTGGGCCCCACACACCCTCCCCGGTCCCACCCCTACTTATCTGCTTCTCTTAAACAGGATCCTGGAATATGCCTTCCTCTGCATCCCAACACCGCCAAACCCTGCCTGTGCCTCAAAATCCTCCTCCCCACCCTCCTCCACCAAAGCGATTTCTCCATCCTTCTGCAAAACTCTTAGAAGAATTGATGCCTATTTTGAAGCACTTAATTTTTTTAATATCATACATTTCTTTGTCTGGTTGTCGTCGATCCCTTCCTAGATTTTTGAGGGCATTATTTAGGTCTCATTCCTTTTTATATCACTCCACAAAGTAGGTGTCTTATTTTTACCTTTTCTAGATTACTTCCTTTAGCAGTGAAGGAAACCAGAATATGTCACCCCAAAATATGCCTCCGACATAAAAATTATTTTAAGCTGAAGGCAATTAACAAGCAGCAAACCCAGAAAAACTCCCCCTTTTCTGCCTAAAGGAGGAAATAAATTCTCTTCTTACTGAAGACAGACTCTTCTCAGCCCAGAGACGGCACCAGGGGAATCTGCAATCAAAACTCTCTCTATTAGTTTCCTCTTATATACAGCGTCCCCCCTTATCCACGGGGAATACATTCCAAGACCTCAGCAGATGCCTGAAACCGTGGACAGTACCGAACCCTATATATATACACTATGTTTTTTCCTATACATACATACCTAGGATAAAGTTTAATTTATAGATAAGGCACAGTAGGAGATTAACAACAATAACTAATAATAAAGTTGGCCTTGGGGCCGTTATTAAGTAAAATAGGGGTTACTTGGACACAAGCACAGCGATACCATGACAGTCGATCTGATAACTCAGAAGGATACTAAGTGACTAACGGGTGGGTGGTGTACATGGTGTGGATCCGCTAGACAAAGGGATGAGTCACGTCCTGGGCTGGATGCAACAGGATGGTGTGAGAAGGTCCGAGGACAGGTCAGAGCTGAGTTCAAAGGTGAGAGTTAATAGCCTATAGGTAGTATTTACAGCCATGAGACGGGATGATCATATGAGCTATGCTATGTGCAATATCTCATTTAATTTCCACAACCACCCATGAGAGTAAACACTTTTATTATTAATATTTTTCCCATTTTACAGATGAGAAAACTGAAGCAGGAAAGGTGGAGTAACTTGCCCAAGACCACTGAGCTAGGACTTGAACCAGGCAGTTGGCTTGAGAACCTTCACTCTAAACCAGTGTTTCTCAATCTGGGGACATCTGGCAACGACTAGAGACTGACTGTTACAACTCGGGGGGTGGGGTACTACTGACACCCAACGGTGGAGGCCAGGGATGCTGCTCAACACCCTCCACGCACAGGACACCCCCACAGCAAAGAATCATCAGGCCCAAAGAGCCGACAGTGCTGAGGGCGAGAGAGCCTGCTCCAAGCCATGACACTGGCACCCTCCAGACTGGGTTGGCCTCCTCTTCCACACCCCTTCTCACACCTGCAGTTGTTCACTTGCTTGTCTTGATTTGTTCAAGATCTATCTGCCCACATGTCGCACCAACATTGTAAACTCTGTTTCATTCACCACAATGTTCTCAGTGCTCCGTCTAACGGCTGTCAACACTAAATGCTCAATATCCACTCACATTTAGTCCGTGATTTCTGACACATCTGTGCTCACTTTTGAGAAATCTCGAGGATGTGTGACAGAGAAGGAGCATGAGAAAGCGTGACACTTACATATTACAGATTTATATTGTGTGTGGAAAGCGTTATTGCACTTAGCCTGGGAAATCAGAGCAAGCGGGGAGCCTGAGACCAGCATCCGAGCTTCAAGCCCTGACTGAGGCTAATTTTTCATTGTCCTTGAAGCTAATCAAGCCTGCGGAAACAGCATCACCAAATTGACTAAACGAGATTTTCAATTAACTCAAACAGATGGCTTAAATTTTCCAGGTGACTTTCCATATTAATTCAGTGAGTTTGCTGGACCAGGCCTCAGGAGGCTTGGCAGGGATGGGGGTTGAAAGGGAAACAATGAAATATATGCATCTTCAGGAGAGAAGACAAAGCAATAATCTGAGCGTTCCTTCTATCCCAGCAAAAAGATCATCAGCCAAATCGATTTGACGCCCCTGACCAGCGCAGACTAAGGGCCCACGCCCAAGGAGGGCTCATCGGAGAGGCAGGCCTTGGGACTGGCTACAAGAGGGAGGAGATCTATCCAGGGCAGGGAGGGGGGCAGTGAGGAGCCCTTACAGAGCACTGGAATTCTGTGCTTGGTCTGTGTGCCTGAGGACCTTACAGCATTTTTAATTTCACTGAAAAGGAAGAGTTGAAAGAACCTCGGTGGAATTCTGCAGAGGCCTCTGGCGTCTGGGGTGTGGGCAGATGGGTCTCGCCAAGGACAGCAGTAGAAGCCACTGCAGGAGAAGACCACACCATTCACAAAAGACCAGCGGAACCAAGTGCCCGAGCACCCAGCCCCGACGATAGGCGAGAGTTACGGCAAAATTTGGGTTGAGTATCTGCTGAGTCTCCTAATGAACCCTTCTTAGCTTAACGGTCCATTTATAGACTTACAGGGATCTATGAGTGAGTGGATCCTGGTGTCAATACAATTCCATCTTCTTTTTTGAGTCTCCCATCAATATTTTCAACAGAGAGAGGTTTAATGATGATTTAAGTGGGCTCTGGAAGTACAATCAGTGCCCAGGCTGCTTGAACTTTGGGAAAAAATGAAACTGATATTCAGACCACTTCACTTAGATGGATCCTACTCAGTTGTTCTGATTAAAAACAGAAATCTACCGGGGCCAGCCCAGTGGCATAGTGGTTAAAGTTCGTGCACTCCACTTCAGTGGCCCAAGGTTCACAGGTTTGGATCCCAGGTGCAGACTTACGCACCACTCATCAAGCCATGCTGTGGTGGGCATCTCACATATAAAGCAGAGGAAGCTGGGCATGGATGTTAGCCCAGGGCCAATCTTCCTCAGCAAAAAGAGGCGGATTGGCAACAGATGTTAGCTCAGGGCTAATCTTCCTCACACACACACAAAAAAAAACCAGAAAACAAAAAAACAGAAATCTACCTAAACCAGATGTTAATAATAATAGGACAGTTATCTTTGTCAAATATTCCACCAACTGCATGGTTGTTTTCTTACCAACTGGGGGATTCGGCTTACTGGAACAGGATTCACCATCAGTTCCTGGGGCTGGCAAAGTACAGTCATGCTCTAGAATAATGCTCTAAAAATGGGGCATCATTTACAGAAAGTTCGATTACATGGATTTTCTCTGAAAGATGGCATGGGTTCATCCAATGGATGCTCTCCCATGTCTGCTGTGTGTGAGGCAGTGTGGCCCCTACAGGAGATGTGCGGCTGACCGGACATGGCCCCTTCCCAGAGGACCCAGGCCTCCTGGGGAGGAGAAGCTGCTCCTGACTCCAGGTAAGAAATAGTAGTGCTGATTTGACTGGTGTACCTTTCCCAGAAAATCGAATCATAAAGCAGCAAGGAAAACTTTAGAAAATGTACCTTTTTCTTGGATGCTTAAATTATCAGTAAAATAAATCAGAGCCTGAAGAGACCATGTAAATGAACATTCATCTTATTTGTTTTTAACATAATAGAGAGAAAGAAGCAAACCTCATTCGTGGATCATCGGGTGGCATCATCTCCAGATCATGGGTGGGTCCATTTAAGCCAATGACGTGGAGGGAAATACTGGGGTTTTCACATCCGGCCTGGGAAGTGAAAGGGGACAGAGACGTGAGTGAGCCACCTCCTGCCCGGACGGTGCCTTGGCTGCAAAGTCTTCCCCAGAAGAGTCACAAGCAGGACTCTGGGAACTTTGGAGCTCAGCACGGAGGAGAAAACTTGTGGAGAGCAGATCATTCATGTGTAGAACGTTACGAAGGACAAGAGACAACGGGGCCAATTCCTCTTCTTCCCCAGGAAGCCTACTCCCTTCTTATTCCTCCCAACTCCCCTGTCTCTCAGCTCCAGGCGAGCACTACTCCACTGGCTTAACTACCTGGGAGGGGAAAGGAAACTAGACAAGGAGAGGGAGAGACATCCCTGGATGTGATGCTAGGAAGTGGAGAGCTCAAGGGTGAGCAAATGGCAGAGAACATTAGTGAATGTTGGCCATGGCTCGGCGGTGGGGAAAAATGAAGTCCTTTGAAATAGTTCTGCTTTGCTGCTCACCCCTCTCCTTCCTCTTCTCGGGGGAACAAGGACCATCAGCCTGGAAGCGGGTAGGGAAAGATGCGGCATTTCCTGTCAGCAGGACTGCTGCATCTGACTGATGCCCTCTCTTATTCTGCACCTGGCAGAGGGAGATATTGGGGTTCACAGAGGAAATCAGCCGCACGACAGGCAGAAGTCAGGTGGGTTCACAACTCGTGCCTCTCATCTGGGAGAGGGTGTTACAGGGCCAGGTGCGTCTGAATTCTGTTAGCCAGAATATGTTGACTTTCTAGTAAAACATGAAACCCCAAATCCTGAGTGATCTAGGGTTCCATAATTCCAATTTCAGAGCACCTGTCCCAGAGTCCACTGTAAGATCTGGATTTCAGGTCATCACTTCTAGATTGGGGGAACTCCCATGAAAGGGGTTCACCAGGAAACCATTCCTTCTCTGGGTGGTCAGAGGAAAGTCAGACCGCTCCTGGCTGAAGCGTGTCTGTGTCCATGTCCGTGTGTGTGTGTGTGTGTGTGTTGGAGACAGAGACAGGTTGAAAGATTCAGGATGAGTCCAGTGCACTTGACTGAACTGTGTTTCCAACTAAAACTCTGGATCCTTCTACATAATACAGAGTTAAGTCTAAGCAAGACTAACTGAAAAAGGAGGGAAAGAATCTGTCACAAGGCACATCCATGTTATGTGTTGACATCTAGATGCTCTAGGATAAAACGGCAGTGACAAGGGCTGTGGCCTCAGAGGCATCACACTCCTCCACTTGGCGCCTCCTTGGATATTGGCCACACCAATTAAAGAGCTGCAGAGAAGGGGTCTGCATCACCAGGTGTTGTGGACTGAACATTTGTGTCCTCAAAATTCATATACTGAAACGCTAATTCCCAATGTGATGGTATTTGGAGGTGAGGCCTTTAGGAGGTGATTAGGGTTAGATGAGGTCATGAGGGTGGGGCCCCCATGACGGGATTAGTGCCCTTATAAGAAGAGGAAGAGACACTAGAACTCTCTCTCTGATACATGAGGACACAGAGAAAAGGTGGCTGTCTGCAAGCCAGGAAGAGAGCCCTTTCCTTCCAGGAGCCCTTCCAGGAAGAGATGCCAGTACCTTCAGACTTCTAGCCTCCACAACTATGAGAAATAAATGTCTGTTGTTTAAGCCACCCAGTCTGCGGGGTTTGTCATGCAGCACCGGCTGACTGAGACACCAGGGGTTTCCTTTCTCTGGCCTGGGACTCTGGGACCCTTGCTGATCTCACTCGTTCATTATTGCTCCTCTTGGTGCAAACTGTAGGCCGGCACATCTTGTATTTGGTACACAAGGCGTGTAGTAGCAGCTCTCAGAGCCTCTCATGGCTTGGGAAGCTGAAGGTCAGTGCTCACTGGCAGAGGCTGGAGGTGTCCTTTAGAGGCCATCCCAGGCAGGGAGTGAGCACTCTGTCACCAGGCCAGTGCGGGTAGTGAAGTGCTCACATTATCTGGCCCAGGGGCCTTGGGGCAGTCTAGTGAAGCCAGCGGGCAGCAGGGCAGCTACCCATGTGTGCCCATGAGAGCTTTGTCCATTCTCTCGGACATCAGCTCTCTCTAACTGAGCTGTCTGTAGAGGTTTGGCGTCAGGTCCTTGCTTCACGCCAGGATGCTGTGATTTTCTAACAAAGTGAGGTTTGCATGTTTGCCCCCCCTCCTCACCCCACTGAGCTCTTGCTGTTCTGCTGGCTCTTTGTGCCAACAACTTGGTCTAGGAAGCAATTAGACACGCTACGGGTCGGAACGTGGTCAAGCACCAAACAACCCGGCCCAGGCCCAGGGGCCCAGGGGCAGATAGGTCCCGCTGACCTCCCAGAAGCCCAGTTCTAAAGAAGGAATCCGAGGAGAGAGTGCCCTGAGTGGGCAGGGTGAGTTTTTGTCGGCACAGAATCACAAGTGGAGGTAACGTATTTATTTTGGTTCCGATGAAGCTTAAACAAATGATTAACATTAGTTCAATTATTTAAAATAAAGTAAACCTGCCAATAAATTCAACTCAACAAAGATGGGAATTTAATGCAATGTAATGGGAAGTAATTAATCTTGCCTCTGTTGACTGCATTGCTCATAACGTGTCTGATTATCACAGCTCCACATTCAGAGTCGGCTGGGTGGGGAGCTAATGAACAATGCAGAGACTCTGTTCTGCCCTTTCTTCTCCGTACCTTGGGGTAGTGGTAGGGCTTCACCGTGGGGTAGATGGAGCCCGTGTAGGTCGGGAGCTCCATGATGGGCACACGGGAGTCATTGATGGTGGCATAGGCGAGCCTTGTGCCATCCGGAGACCACCAGTGGGCGATGTGGGTCTTCAAAATCTCCTCTAAGGGAAAACAAACAAAATAGAGAGATGTGAGCAGGCAACAAATGTTGTGGAAACCAGCAACAAGCAGGCACAGCTGTGAGCCGGCCAGGAAGTAAATGAATCCCCTTGGGGACATTTATCTTCTACAGCCTTCAAGAAGTCGTCACTGTGCCCTGAATATGCCTTCATTCCAGGGCGAGGCGGCTCAAGAAATGCCTGATGCTGACCCCCAAATCCCACACAGTAAAACCCAATAAATCAAGGCCCAACTGAACAGATGCTAGTGGTCTGGAAACCATTTTTTTTTCCTTTTGGCACAAATTTGAGCAGTAAAAGTCTAAGTGCTTTTTGAATTGAATTATTATTGTACTGTTGTAGGTTATTATTTTAAGATGATTTGGACAACAGAACTAGAGGAAATCAGTTCACATGGAAGCAGGGAACACCCAGGTGGAACCGAGTGCATAAAGCAAGCCGTGTCAGAGGCTGAATCCCAGAGAACCCCAGCTCAACCTGCGGGAGCTGCCTGGGGATTCACGCCTGCCTGCAGACTCCCTCGTGCACAGCTGTGCGGAAGGACAAAGTGTTCAAAGGCCCAGCATGCTCCTTAGTCTTAAAGAAGGATGCAATTTCTCTGGGCGGCAGAAAAACAAAATGGCCTCATCTTCAATGGAACCAAAATGGAAACAGCTATTCTCTTAGGTTTCCACCAGAAACACCCATCATTCCACCCCATCCCACAAACATCTTGTCTAATTAGAGTTTTAACTATGGATAAGTTTTATAGGATCTGATATCTATTCTAGAAAGAATAATTCTACTCTATTTTTTTAAAAAAACTGAGAGAAGTCACTTCCCAAGTGTAACAAGTCAGAGAACCAGGGACCAGAGGCTCTATCTCAGTGCTAAACAGCTCTTAGGTCAAGGGATTCTTTTTTGCACATGGTCTATAGGTACTGTACACTGAGTCCCTCTAGATTTGTTTCTAAGATATTGATCAATATAATTCTATAATCACATAGTACGAGTCCCACTCAACTGGTGGTTATTGGATGTAGACCATAAACCGGCTCCATGTGCCTGTAGCGGTAGGAAGGCAATTGAGGGATCTGAAATCGTGCTGAGAAAACAAGACGAGTGCATGTAACATAACGAGGAAGAACATAAATTAGAATAAAGCCAAGGGAGGGGGCCCACAGAAGGAAAGGATCGTAGAGAGGGAAGAAGCAAGGTGGGAAGACACGGAGCTGGGCCAGTATCGACGGTGGGTGGGTGACCATCAGTGGGGATCAGAGGGCCGCGGGATGGAGAAGAGGGCTCAGGGCCACGTCGGTGAGGGCCTGGCTGCTGCGGGCTATGAAGGCATTCCACACCAAGATCGGGGACTTCCAGAAAGTGGGACTCGCTGCAATTCCTTCTCCTGGGGTGGGTGCCAGAGGCAGACTCTGGGTTGGGGGAGGCTGACCGATGGTGCAGTTTGTCCCTCCATCCCTGGCTCCACTGGCCCCGTTTCTTAGTGGGAGGAACCCTGATGTCTTGTGGGACCTGCAGAAGCAATGCTAGGAGTTATGCACTTCATTAAGAGCAGTTCTCCTCCTAAATAATTCTTCCCTGCCCTTCCGAGTGCTCTCCTCCAGACCTGCCAGCAGCCTGCGGAGACCCCTACCCAACGCGACACGGTTTTGCTGCTGGACTCCATCGCCAGACAGAGAGTCTCATCCAACACGAAGCCTGCGGCGTATCTGACTTTCCACCATGCAGCTCAGGTATGGAACACAGCTGCTCAGTGGAAAATGGATGAAAGGGCCCCAGATCTTGGGTTCTAGTCCTCTACCTCAGAGGCTCCGAACGAGTACCCATCTGTCAACTGAGGGGCACAGTAGCCCCCCAACATCCCCTGCACCCCCAGCGTTCTGTGATCTCATGGCACCCCGTGAAACGACTCAGAAACTTTTCCAGAGCCTGTAAAAACCCAAAGGTCTGCTGAGGTGAAAAAAAAGAAAACGGCCAACTCTCCAGGGCTTGTAATTTTCCAGTGTCTTCAGCAGCCAGCAAAGTGACTTTCAGGTGCGAGTTTGGAATGAGGTGATTCAGAAATGACTTTCTGCAGAAGCACCTGATTCGTCCGGTCGGCTCACACGGAGCGGTGAGTAATAGACTCAAGCAGATGGTCTGCTGGAAAAATAGGCACCATTTGCAATGCAATTTTCGGGTGATTCTGCTCAATCAATTCTGCGCTGCAGGGCTGGGAGGGAGGGACCAGTCTGGGTGCCAGTGGAACCGCTGTGAGAGAGTGGAATTCAAGGGGCAGAGGGAGAAGGCAGCCAAGTCTACCGATGTCATAGGAGAGGAGCCCAGCAGCGGTCTTCACAGCACATTAATTCACGGCCAACTCAGGAGAATTCCAAAGAGAAAAACAGCTGGCTGCAACAAAGGCTTCCTAGAGGAAGAAGCGCTGGACAGAAACAACAACACAACCCCTGCAGAGGCAACGCATCTGTTTCTTCTCTTGGAAACCAGAGCAATCTCCTGAAAGAGAGGGATGACAATCCACACCCTTGTGCAAAGTCACACCCCCTTCATTCTCAGACAGGCTCCAGACACTTGGTGAGGGGTGACCAGGCGAGGAGGCATGGCTCGCTTCTTGTTTCCACCCATCTTTGTGGATGTCTCATTTCTAGGCTTGCCCTCAGACCTAAAGGAAACACTGCTGCTTCCAGCACAGGGCAGGTGGTCACACATGCAGGGATGAGAGAGAGAGGAAATATGCGGTCAAGGCTAGGTCTGAAGCTGGGTTGAGAATAATATATTTCTCTCAATTCCATCAGCAAGTGCCAAAGTATTCCACTCAGCTCAAGTCACTGTTCAGAGAATTCAGATGCAGAAAAAAGATGACTTCAGACTATAAAATGTGCTGCTTGGAAGGGAACTCAGAGACCATACAGTTGAGGGATGACAAATGTCTGGTGTGTGTGTTGGCAAATGTTAGTTCCTTTCAAGTCCATCCCCCAGCGAGATGGGAGCAAATAAAAAGAAATTCTGCCATGCCAAAGGCCGGGCCATACAAAACTAGGTAGCTTTAGTTTATTTTCCCCAAATGCCCTTTAACACATTGTTCCTTGGCGTTTTTATTTTTCTCTGCATTAGTTGCACATGAAAGAGTTTCTTAAGTAAAAGAAACTAAGGGGAAAAGGACCAGGCAGATGAAATCTTGACATTTTTGTGTTAATTACGAACGTCCCTATTCTGTAAACGTTTTCTTCAGGATCTCCAGCTTAATGAGGCAGTTGGCTTAAATGCCACGAACGAAATGTAGTTTAGGAATAGACTTTTGCAGTGAAAAAAAGCCTATTTCATCAACTCAATTAACTGCATGAACCTTTGCGTTGGAACATAAGGGGAAACTTGCCTTTCTGAGCAAGTACAATTAACTTGTAAAAACCGGAGGATATAGCTTTCCTTCACCTTCCCTGTCCCATCCAGGGACCATTCCAGAATCAAACACAAAAGATACATTTGGGGACATTCACTAGTCGTGACTGCCTCTCCCTTGAAGAGGCGAAAAGTTTTATCCACGCAGCTTAGGCTCATAGGAGGATCCGGGCCAATTTTCCTCATTTTTTGTCACTGTGTCTTAAGGAAGCCAACTCCACTATTTGAGTGTTATTCACTTGTGCCAAACAATGTTAAGGGCATATCCAGTAGGACAAAGTCCCTTTGGGCTCAAGGTGATAAAGGCCAGTCTAGAAAAGAAGAGGAATTCTCGCATTTTCCAGATTGTTTGGCAGATGCAGAACAAGAGGGGGCCACCGATACCATTCCACAATAGCCGCCTGGTATCACTCAGGTCGGCCTCAGAGAAGCACGTGGGACCAGTGTGTGTTTTCAGTACAGATGCCCGGGCCCCACTCCACCCACTCTAGGCAGAACAATTAGTATTTGTTGGGGTCAGGGGGAGGGCAGAGACCCCTTTCCTGCAAAAGCTCTATGGGTGACTTTGGTGTACATTCTGGCTAAGAACGACTGACTACACAAATATGCCATATGTGATCAAATGAGCATTGTATTTTGGAATTGTACACATAAGGCTTTATCAGCATATATGAAATATGCTCCCAAATTATTTGGGGGGCAGTAAACCTTCCTGAATAGAAGAATAATAGGTTCCCCTCAAACGTTTTTTATGGGTTGAATTGTGTCCCCCTAAAAGCTGTGTTGAAATCCTAATCTCTCGTACCTGAGAATGTGACCTTATTTGGAAACAGGGTCATTGCAGATTTAATTAAGATGTCAATTAAGACGAAGTCATACTGGAGCAGGGTGGGCCCCTAATGCAACACGACAGGTGTCCTTATAAGGAGAGGAAAAGAGACACAGAGACAGACAGGGGACAATGTCATGTGACGGCAAAGGCAGAGACTGGAGTGATACGCCCACAAGCCGAGGAGCAGAAGCTGGAGGAGACAAGGAAGGATTCTTCCCAGAGTCTCAGGGGAGAACGGCCTGTGACTCCTTGATTCCAGACTTTCAACCTCTAGAACAGAAACAATAAATTTCTGTTCTTTAAAGCCATCCACTTAGTGCTGTTTTGTTACAGGAGCCACAGGAAACTCACACGAGGTCACGACTAGCCTGGGTGCCCAAGAGTGCGCTGCACACGGGGAGGACACAGACGCCCGAGTCAGGGGCTCTGAGAGTCAGTCGAAGTCTGCCCGAAAGTCGGCGTGGTGGGATCTCTAAGCCAAACCTGACCAGGGTGGGTGGGACGCTGCTGGCCTCAGACCTAACAACAGTTGGGGCTAGCCCTAGGGCCCCTCGTCCCCTAGCACACGCGCACGCATGTGTGACACCGAGTGTGCTGGGCTGAGCCCCCGTGCCTCGGCTCTGACGTTTCCAACCCCCAGCGGGCTGATGCAGCCAGCTTCCTCGGCTGTCGTCCAACATGCTGGACACTTGTGACTGGGGTCCTTCCTGAACCCCAGTCAGATTTAAGTACATTTTTTTGGTTTAACAAATAT